ACACAATCAAAGGTCGATAGGTATCCCTTTCATGTTACCACCAACTGTGTATACAAATTTACATGTATCTGCCAAAGCAGTTACATTGGTAGAACAGAAAGTAGAGCCTACGTCCGATTCGAAGAACATATTCCGAAGAGTTTAAGATTAAATGAATTGAACGCATTCAACAGTGCCATCGCAAGACATCTCCTTGATACAGGACATGAAGTTGATATACTGAAGTCCTTCAAGGTGATTAACAAACAATCAAACTCCAACCTTTTGAAATTTGCTGAAGCAATAGCAATCAAACGTCTAAAACCAGATCTATGTATACAAAAAGAGACAGTAATAAATCTTTCTTTACCCTGGTAACAATAACCCCTTTTATTCATTTATTTCTCTAGTTATTTATTGCGTCACTACTCCAACTCTTTTAAATTACATCATACATAACTGACCAATTTCAATTCATATTTTCTTTATTACCATTAATCTATTTTCATGAGTTCTAATCACTATTTCAATGTTCTGGAACTTTCCCTCTCAAACTCTATTTATTTATTCGAATCAAACATTTTATGAGCTCATTAACTCTATCTGAATCTTTGCTACATCATGATACACATGTATTGATCCTTAATCACACTTTTATGTATAAATATGTCAATATATGTAATAATGTTGAATTTCAAATATTTTAGGTTGTAAGCAGCTGATGAGAACCTAACGAAATAAAATGAATTCGTATTATTCTGCACCAATTTTTGTTCTTGCTCTCTTTAAAATAATAAAGGGAACTATGTGTATGAAAAAAGGAATGGCCTGACAGGTCACTTTGTCAATGCTTTATGGTTCATCATTCTTCAAATAAGTATTCTAGGACCCGAACATCAAAGTTTCACTATGTTAGCTCATGACTGCAACGGTACAAGTGTTGAGGATTTCATATTTAACTCAATTACTCCGTGAACTATTTCAGAGATGAAGATATCCCTGAAGAATTGTCAGTCACATTATATTAGGCAGTATTTTCGTTGTTATAATTTACTTTTAAATTTGTATCGCTTGGTGTAAAATAAAATCAAGCTTTATGTCTAGGTCAAATAAATCATATTTCAGAAGAAACACCGTATTATGTTGATTCAATGTTGTATCTCACATTAGTACATTTAGGCAACTATATGTTTAACGAATATTCATATCTATCTGTTCTTTCGAACTAATCACCCACTGCAAATATATTTGATCAATTTTCAATAATAGAAAATAAGGTATTTATCATAGTATTTTAATGAAATCCAACAGCGCGAAGAATATTTTCTGGAAATGATGAAAGCGATGTTGACGCTTCAGTTCAGTTCTGAATTTCATGATTTATATACTCAAGTCAATCATAAAATTGTCGATTTATAGTTATTTTTCTATGAAAAGAAACAAAACAAAATTTAAATGTCGTTTAGAATACAACAACAATTCTAAAATGTTGTCGGATGACAATTCATCACTCACAGTTCTTGATTTTCAAATTCAGTAAGTGACCTATTTCCATTCAAATCAGATTTCAGAATAAATTTCTGTCACAATATTTGAGCACATGTGTGTTATTTAACAATAAAAAAAATTCAATCAATATGAAACGGATGTGAGAAGTGAGATGAATTGTACAGGAAATTTTGAAATCAAATCACTGTATTAGTTAGACAATTTCAAATGGGTTAGAGAAATTGATAAATTAGGGGAAATGGAGTAAAAGAGGTTTCGGAAATGATTATTTGGGAAAGCAGTTCCCTTGTTGAGTGAAAAGTTATGTTAACGAAATCCAGACGTTTATGAAAGATAGACACATCGATGATACCATTTTAAACCTGACATCGAAAAAAGTACAGAATTATTCTAAATGTTATCGCTCGCGAAATTAATTTCCATATTGTAATAGTCGATAGGTGGGAATCACTAGTAATACTGAAGTTGTTTTCAATTTCAGAGACAGTTTGTAGTGATTAACCGTTAGCCTTAGCGCCTTCTAGTATGATATTTTTGCAACCATGAAAATTGAGTTGTTTGGTGTTATTACTCAACGAAATAGTGCCAAAAACAATTAGCATTTGGCTTTGGACAAGTGTTTTCGGGATGTTAGCACTCACCATAAAATGTATCAGAAGCATTGAAGGATATGAAGTTCTCTCTCCCTCTAGCTGTATATATATACACAAAAATCATAGAATGAAAGCATATCGTTCTAGTTACAAAGAGACAAGACGGTAGTTGAAACTCTTTCGAAAACCAACGTACCACTGTATATTATGAAAAACATAGAATAAGGAGCATAATACATAACAAAATGTTTTGGTTCAAATTAATCTACAGATCCAATCACAATAAAATAATCAGGAGTGAAATATGCTCCTACTACATACAAGATATTAGTATAATACAAATAATGGGAGCTAAAATGTAAATAATTTACCAATGGGCGCATAAAAAACATATTGAATTCAATACAATTAGCCCCTTTGATAAATTTCGATAATGCAATGAGAAGATGAAAGTTATCAGAATTATGTAATATATTTGCGTAATACATTTCGAACAATCTGATCACACATATATACTTAATAAGATATTCTTATATGAAAAATAACATGTCAACGACTTACCTTTAACCTGTCTAGTTGACCTTTTATTTTTTTTATATCTAAATGTTCTTAACAAGTATACGTGTGATCAGATTGCTCGAAATGTATTACGCAAATATATTACATAATTCAGATAACTTTCATCTTCTCATTGCACCATCAAAATATTGAATTCAATATCAGCAAATATTAAATTCAAAAATAAATGAGTGCGCAATCTGATGAGGCTTTATTGAGAACCGACAATCTATCTATACAACTTTGCATGTATATATAACGCGATTTCGTATATTCTAATTATTTCAAAAACACTTCTAACCTACTCATTAACATTCATTCAACTCTTTGTGACCTGTTATTCATATAATTAGTTAAAATCAATAGATTTTCCTAAATAACACTAAATTTTGTTATAACACAAGGTGTAAACAAAATTTCTTTTGGACGCTTCATGTTAAGGTCAGGTTTACTAATAAAACGTTGACTATTGACTTTTTTAAAAACATAACCACTAAAAATACAAATCAATTTCGAAACTATAGGAGAGTTAGTCGATGAATTATTTAACTAGAAATATCGCAATGTTAAAGTAAAACATCACTTAAAACACTCATGCAACGCTGTTCGAGAGAATTGATTAAAGAGACAAAACAAATCAAAAGGCTTAATTTGTACTAAGAAAATGGACATTTCTAGAGGAATTATATCCTAAAACCGATCAGATTGCAACTACTTAGATTTTACATAGTAACGGAATACTGATAATGATTATTCAGGTGAAAGTGACTAGTTGTTACACTTTTCTTTCCGATTGGTTTATCGTTTGAAATTAGGTGATTGAGTATGTTTGATTGCAAATCAAAATGCTCATCCGACTGCACATTATTTTTGATTTGTGAATCTACATTGTGTAGGCCTTTAGAAAAATACAGTCGTTTTCAATAATATATTGGACATCGTGAAATGCAAGACCAGATTGTTAGCTACGCCAATGTTCACCAGTGCACAACAAAAAGATGTTACTTGAACTTTCCTGTCAGTTGAGCACTATTACTTGTGAATTAGTTTTATATGAATGGCAATCAAGTTACTGATGATAAACGGGATTCCAGACATCTAAGAGACAGATCAAAGTGGATATTTCGAGTTCCATCTTCCACATTCTAGTCAAAATTCTAACAACTACTTATCGATATGTGTAGATTGAAAATTTTCGTTACCAGTTGAAGGCTATACAAACGTATATATTACTGATGCTTGACGAAAGTGTGTATGGAACAATCTCCCAGTGTGTTATTTGGAGCCTTGTCTATTAATACAGAACTCAACAATTTGACCAAGATTATAAACAGTGCATGTATTCTCTTACTATTCTTTCAGGTTATTTATTGTGAAGTGAACGTTCTTTTTAGAATTTCAGTCCGAAATTAGGCTTTTAATTTTTAGAGTAAACATTCCAACACTTTCTTCTTACGTTTGAACTTCTTATTGAGATTTAGTACGTAGACTACTATTTGCGTGTATAAGTTGGTTTTTGTAGATTCACATGGTGTAATTTCTGAAGGATATCTACTAAGTCATTTCATTTATCTATATTTTGGATTTAGCTAATTTGTCTTTAATTTTTGTTTGTAAGGAACTCACGTAAATAGTTTATTTTTCTGAATATTCATTGGTTAACCTTACTAGAGCAATAACAACGAGCGTAACAGAATAGCGTGAATCCATTTATGTCTATTCAACAACATGAGATTTATTCCATCGTTTAAATCTTTTTATATGCATAAAATTTTCTTACTGAAAAATATTATTTGTTAAGGAATCCTAGTTGCTTACTTCTCTTTGAAAGTTTCACTAATTATTCTGCTCAAAGAAAATAACACCTCCAGAATCATTCTTAAGGTCTATAAATCTCTATCATATCATATGGATTAATGCAAAATTACACAGTGCTTTCATAAAATACGAAAACCATACATCAAATACTTTATTGTCACATATTCCATCAATTGTCTCTTACAAACGTCATCATTCCTTCATTCCTGTTATTACAGTTCCTCCCTGTTTACATTCCTGTTCTCTTCAACTCGATCCTCTTAACTTTCTGCTGCTAAACATTCTACTTCTGGTTCGTGTTACATACTGCTTATATCGATATACATAAAAAGCACACACCACATAACAACAAGTAAAACGTGAAAATAATCTCGAAAATGGCACTGTTTGAGCAGTTTGATTTATCTTTTCATCTAATGTCACAAATACTGCAAAATATGTGAACTTATATTCAAACTTGGTTTCGTAGCTGATTTTTCAAAACTTTGTTATTCATACAAGTTTGACAAAAATATATTACTTTTCTATAGTTTTTTTTTCAGCTTGACTAACAATCAACTACTATCTATTTTTGATATTACATATAGTTTTTTTTTTCTGTTTTATTTCTGATAATTCAGTCAACCATTAATCAGTATAAAAATGTAAGCACATCAAAAGTTTAAACTAAGATGTTTTAGAAAAAATAAAAAAGTGAAAACACAAAAATTAATGTTCTTTAAATGTTACTAGAAAATAGACACAAACGACATTTACAATTTAGAGCAAATACTCATTCTAAAAAGAAAACAGAATTTAATACAATTCATTTGATGAAGTAATGTATTTATTAAGTGAATTCATGAGTCGATTAAAGCTAGACCACCATAGAAAATTTGGTGGTTGTGCTAGTAATTGCTAAAATCATTTAACCCATTTACCTGTGATAAAAATACGCTATTCGCACAAAAGAAAGCCTGATAAACATTGTTATATTTTATGTTAAGCATATTAGATAGAGTTGAATTTGAGTTAATTTGGTCAAGAATAATAAATTATGGAGCTGAGTGAATATTTATAAGAGTCTTTAATTTGGACCTGTGTAAAAAAAGCAAAGGTTTTGGGTAAATTCACATCCCAACTGCAAGATAACGTATTTTAAACGTCGAACTAATATTAAACACCATCAATCTTGTTCAAATTTCTTCCACAATCCAACGTTGATATTTTTTAACATAGGAAATACTGAATACTAATTGTTTGCAATAAATTAACAAGTTAATGCTCGGCGATATTACAATCAATCGACTTATATTTGACCAATCGATTTTTCAATGTTTCCGATCGAATTGCCAATTACAAGTTTTGGCTGCTTATGCTGATAATGTTAATCTATCAAAGAAAAATCCTACAACTACACAAGTAACAGAAACAAATCCATGGAGCATTTAGTCTTATCTGATGATCATGGAAACAGATCTTTTCGCAATGCTCCTGTTGCTATGGCATACAATGAAGATCTTTAAAATTGAACAGTAACTACCTTTTTATCAATGGAACTAACGGTAAAATATAAACGTAAACAATTACAACATATTTTTTTAACTAAACAGCATTTACAGATTGTCTAATTTGCTTTAAAAAATTATGAATCCAGAAATTAGACGCTGAGAAAAATGGAACAGCATTTTGTGTAAAATATACAAAATCTAAAATAATAGTTGGAAATCATTATGGAAACTGGACAAAATGAAAGTAGAAGTAGGAAAAGTAATTGAGTAAAAAAATCATGGGGAATTCGGTGAACGATGTGATCTTCGTATACGGAGTATTCTGTGACCTAAATGACGGAAAATATTAAGAAAAAGTATGAAGCTCTAATTAAATGTAGGACTAGTTTAAGAAACAAAAACAAAATCATTTATTTAACCTGAAGAAAGAGTTTATTCAATGCTTAGATATCAAATGAAAAAGAACTTCGAATGGACTGTTCAAATCTTTCTATAGAATACGTAAACTCCTAAAAAATAATTAACACAATATAATAGTAAGACTATGAATTTGTTGGTAAAGTTCCAGTCGCAAAGTGAGAAGTTCAGAACCAAACCAAAGCACACTATATCCAACATCTATAGTTCGAATTACGAAATCCTCAGTCAAAAACATCAAAGGCAAACAACCCTTTCTACATGCATACGAAAAGTGCCTTTTCAATCAAGAAACAGTTGACTGAAGACAACATAAAACTTTAAAGTTAGAAACTCAGATCTCGGAAATACTATCCATACTTATGAAAGGTCAGGGCTTTAAAATAATCGATTATTCACAAACAGACAGAAATAATTTCATACAATTGGTTCTCTTTATGAATTTACATGGAGCAAGAACAAACATTGATGCAGAATAGTATGAATTCAAAATATTTCGAGGTTTCTCGTCGGCTGTTTACAAACCAAAAATGTGATAGAATTTTTTACATTGAGATAGTGTGAAACAATTGACATAAATGAGTGTAAATAACGGGATTACAATGATAACTATATATAAAGGCAATTTCATCTCCTTTGAAAAATATTCATCACAAAAACACTTGGAATGGTCTATATCTCAATTACCATAACTTCTGCTCAATGAGTTACAAAAAGGGTATTTTACGAACCCTTTTTGACTGCGCTCGCAAAATTTATTCAAAGGAATGCCTTGACGACGAAATTACTCTCATCACTAATGTTCTACCTGAAAATGCATACCCGTTGAAATTCATCCAGAAATATGCAAAAACCAATCCTCAGACAAAGTACGATGGAGTAGAAAAGAGAACTTGCTTCTTACATTTACGTTTCAAAGGAGATGAAATTGCCGGATTAATTAATCACAGATTAAATTCTGCATTGAAAGTGGCCTACCCAGAAGCGAAACTTACGACAGTATGGCAAACGAACTGCTCACTTAAACAAACTAAAATCGACAAGTCCTCTTTTATTAGTAGCTCCAACTGCATTTATCAATTCACATGTACGTGCCAAAGCACATACATTGGAAAAACTGAGAGAAGAGTGCGTGTTCGCATTTCTTAGCATGTTCTGAAGAACTTGATGCTGCGAGGGCCCAAAGCTCTAAACAGTGCAATAGCTCGGTATTTACTTGACACCGGGCATACTGCCGACATTTTGCATGCCTTTAAAATTATCAATAGAAAAAGAAGCGCGACTACTCTTCGTTTCGCTGAAGCGATTGCGATAAAAAAACTTAAACCGGATTTATGCATTCAAAAAGAGACTTGAGTAAAATTATCACCACCCTGGTAACCACCTTTTTGTGTGTGTTTTGGTTATTTGGGTTATTTTATTCATTTATTTATTTTTAATTATTTATACTCCTCCCTTATTACATAATTCTTAAACCACATTATTATTCACACATTTCCACCACCTGATCCTCTTAAATTATCTTAACTTTTCAAATTCTATTTAATTATTATTACATAATCTACCTTATCATTATTCAATTCCATTAATCTCTCTAATTATCACACAATTCATGAACTTCACTAAACTATTATACCACCCAACCTGAATTTACCCTTTTTTGACCTCTGACCTGTTTCTAGCATATATATATATATATATATAGTTATTATTGTAACCCAGTTATTTTCACTCATCTATGTCAATTGTATCACACTATCTCAATGTAAAAATTCTATCACATTTTTGGTTTGTAAGCAGCTGACGAGAAACCTCGAAATAATATGAATTCATACTATTCTGCACCAATATTTGTTCTTGCTTTATTTAAAGACAAAAATAACTTAGTGGTCCGCATACACATATATGAAAAGAAATTAATCAAGTTCCGAACTTAGTATCAACAAGGAGAAAACTTAAACCCTTAGACAATTTATACACCTTTACTGCATACCAAAAATAATTCAAAATGAAAATATAGGTTTAAGATTTTGGATACTTTAACAAATGTGTTAAGCAATTTTATGAGTTAAAATCATGATGACTATATGAGTTTAGTATTAGATTGTAGATAAGATCTAAAAGAATTTAACTTACAGCACAAATAATCGGAATGTGCTGAATCTTCTCACCCATTTATGGAGTGATCGACACCCAGTAAAACAGGCCATTGTAAGCAGGGTAAGACTCCAGTAGCGTATAATTCGCATTCCAGTAACCATCTGTTTTAAAGCGACTTGATGCATCCTTCAGAAGTTCGTTACTGTGTAAAAAAGTACACATAAAAAAACAATAGGGAAAATGCCCTATGACTGCAGTTACAAAGATCATGATACTCCTAGAAAAGTACTCGGAATAAGTCGAAAATTGGTGGTTTAAGTACATGTTTTTAAAGAATGTATTATTTATTAAAGTCTCAGTAGGTGGATAATGTGACTAACATGCGGTAGTTGTGGTGCGAAGATGGTACGTAATTATTAGAATGGATACGTATTTGTCAAACTTTAAGCTTTATACAACAAATCTACTTTGCAGGGCCAATAGCTAAGTACACAAAATTCATAACGGCAGTCATTTGTTTCGATTTTATAAACGTTTATGAAACAGTATGTGAAACGTATCGTAATGATTACAATAAACACCGTTCATGGATCGAAAACAGATTTCTCAAATTATTGCCTGGTAAAATTTGTAAGTATGGCTTGTTTGTGAATTACCAATGCTGATTTACTAACTTAGATTTTACACGATTAGTTAAAATTGTTCACAATCACATTCTAATAGACCTTCATAAAATAAATATTAATGTAATGTAATGATATTAAAATCCTAAATAATAAGACAAGACACGCCACAGTTACAGAAGTAATAAATCAGACAATGAACATTAGATGCCTAAGAAGGAAAGATTTACTTTACAAAAACATGCTTTCATTTTGTAAACTTACTACCTATTTAGTAAGTTATCTCGTAATCCAATTGGGTGATAGGAAGAAATATACATATCTAGACTCAGGCAAAGGTGCAGTACTTTATAGATAATGGAATTAAGCATCTATTCAGCATATACAGATACAGTACAGCGAACTTATTATCTGGCTACATGAAATCTTTTTAACAGTATTTAAGGTATGGGTACCAAAAAAATTAGGTAATAAGTTAGTGGTCATTACCTTTAAAGACGTAGCGGTAGCATAAGTGAGATAACGTGAAGAGATACAAAGTTCACTTTTCTGTTCACAATGTTTTTCGTTAATTTAAAATATGTCGTTGGGAATTGTAGTTAATAACTAAAACACCTGCGTATCATTACTCACTAGGCTACCCGCTTAGCCACAGTATAAAAATGAAAGGTGATCTCTAAATGGAGAACGGAAGTACAGTTTTCATGACGAATTTTTATATTTGATAACATTTCATTTTGCCAGAAAACATACTGTTTTTATAGAATCCGTCCACTGGAGCCTTGTGTGGTGATCCTATTATATGCAGCGACTGAGTTTCAAAAAAGTCCTGTTGACATAATTGTTCTTTAATTCGATCAAATATAACGTGCACAAAAGCCATCCATTTCATTCCACTAGTTGATGAGTCCAGTGATGCCTGAGATTACAAGCACGTTTACAAATTTGAAAGCATATGTGATTATATCTACCCAGCTTATCAGTAAGTCGATAATAATAACAAAACCGTAAAACCAAAGAATATCACCGAGTGTAAATCACATAAATGAAAACTACTTATTTGCACAAAAATGTTAGACATTTCACGAAATTATTTTTCTACATTAGCATAAGGATTCAGATAATCGAATAAGACCCTTGAAATTTGAGTATTCCATCAGAAAAAGGATATATTCACACGAATAGAATGAGAGGTAAAAATGTAATTTTGAAATTCACAACGGATATTCTATGTTGAACCCCTACAATATTACACAGTGAATAGTCCCGCTTATGAATATTAGATTTTTTTCAATTTTTCAGTACATTTTAAAACAGTAAAGTTTAGCGTTACTCCACAATGATATAATGAATAGCAGGAACCGGTTACCAAAATAAGACTCTTTACAAGTTACCGATTTCATTCTATTTAAAATGCCCTACGTAATAAACCAGAATAAACGATCACCAGCTACAATCAAAGGAATCGATGAATAGCCAATGAGAATCCACAAAATTAACTGCGGAAAATACAAAAGCGATGGGTTGTAGTCACTAATTATACAGAGGTTAGTGTGCCGAAAAACCTTTGTCATTCAGGTTGGCCGTATTTAACTACTTTTATCGAACTTTCATCGCAGAAACACTAACCAACGCACTATTTAGTTAGCACCAAATGTTAGCATTTAAAATACGAAGTATATTATGTGTAGTTTATAATTTTCTGTGACGAATAATCAGATGATATCAGACTTTCGAGCAGGATATTGCCAATATACAGAGAGTTTTGTAATAATAGTGATTCAGGTATTAATTCAACTGAAAATGGACCTGATATTGGGAAGATAAATGGTCTTTTCGAAATGACTTGTGGGGCCACTTAGCAGGTCACATAGCTGGGGAGCAGTTACTAAATATAGTCGTCGTTGTCAGCTATAATCTATCAATAGTCTGAAACACTTAGTTGGTCGATCTACAAACACTGCCATTTATGTATGAACGAGCACACGAAGCAATAAAATAAACTGGTTTATACATGAATATGGTAAGTATTCGGTGATAAATTCAATTACTTCTGAATACTCATTTGGGACTAATATTACTATCAATACTGTGCGATACTTAATAAATTAATTTAAATATCTTAGATGAAAAACAACAATGAGCAAGTGTATATTACAAAAACGAATTCTTAAGTCTGAGGATTGGGAAAGACATACCGTTTAGGATTGACCGGATTATTTGGGTCTTTCTTATGACTAATCATTCTGTAACGAGCGATTTCTTCAGGGTAACGCATAACGCTGTAATTATGATAGACTACTCTAGCGTATAAATCGTCATCTTCTCCACCCCATCCAAAATACATATTTGAAAATCCCCCAACCTTTTCAAACTGTTTCTTGGTGAACGCCACAGCTCCGCCAAAAATCGTAAGATAAGGAAGACTAAAAAATAATAAATTCATGTGAATAAAGTTATTTAGCAGATTTTTGGGTAGCTTTATTGAGAAAAAAACAAACACACCACGCATAAACATGTTTGGTTCTTGTTTGTCATGAAAAGGCATCCGTCTAGTCAATAACTAGATATATTCCAGTTAGCCCCAAATTATGACAGTAGTAAAATAGATCACAATTTTCCTAACTCTTGGAAATTAGAAGTTTCAGGATTTGGTTACAAAATACGAAAAGACTCTACAACTTTGATTCAGTTCTCTGTAATGACTGTTGTCTACCATAATGCAGTTGCTTCGAAGTAATAGAGTAGTTTATATAGTCACTAAAATTGATACCGCATTGACAAGGTAATATGGTGCATCGATAAATCTATGTATAGAATTTAAGTCCAGTGGTAGACCGTCTGATGCTTGCGTTTTTTTAGAAATATACGTATTTCAACTTATTAAATTAATTTACACTTCGTTTTTAAGGAATCACTACTTTTATGCTTGTTCATACTATCATTTTTATACATGCTGGATGGTCCTTATTGATGGATTATTACTTATGCTAAAATAATGGTCGACAGAACTTACAAGTGTGAATCTGAGTTGAAGTATTGGAATCTATCCATGAATGCATTTACAATATGAAGCTCACAGCTGAAATATAGATGGTTGGTGAACTGCATTCTAGTTAGAGTCTTAAACAAGTGGGTCCCAAAAATTCACTGTAACTAGGTAGAAAGCTGATAATTCCTTGAACAAAGTCTAACGATGTAAATATAAATACCAAGTTTATTTGGAAGTTGGTTAGAAATATAAACTGTCCTAATTCATACGATATGAATTCCTCGACTAAAGTATTGAATCAACTTTCTTATTTATTGAAGAATGTTACCAACTGGACAAATTCAAAATTTAAAAGTCTAGGAGTTTAAGTATAAGCACTGACCGGTAGTTAAACTTGTCTACAGCAACAGATAGGTGTCTCGGTTGGTTGGCACAACGATATGAATTTCGATCGTCTTCAGGCAATAAATCCACATCATGAAATATGAAGCAGTCAAAATTTGTAACCCGTTTCGACTCGATAAACCCAACATTCAGAAGGAGGGCACGATTGAAATGAGTTTCACCGTCCTAAACATGTATTTATAAGTAGAAAATGAAGACTTTAGCAATACTACAACCTTGGTTATTTCATGATTAATCTCCACAATAGAATCACATACGTAAACAGCCTAGAGTGAAAAATGGTAGTCTTTATTGTTACTTCGCTTGAATACCCAAAAACGTCTATTGGGAGTGAGATGAACCATAAATAAAGAAACTGCATTATTGTTTGAACGCTAAATAAGGAAGATGCTGTTGATTCAAATACTGCTACAACACTCTGTTGGTAAGAAATTGATTTTGTTGAAATCTATAATCATTCATGTCAAACAAATGACCTAGTATATATTAAAACTCTGCTTTCAGTAACAATGTACTATTTTAGTGCATGTTTCGTAAATACCACGGACGTCAATCAATAGGATTAACCTATCAACACAGTTTAGGGTTAGTGAAAGTAATATATTACCATACCTATTAACAGCCATAGAGCACAAGATCTTTACGAAAAAAACCCACAATCCTGTGGGAACAGAAAATGGACCGTAACCCAAGAAAAAGAACATAAGATGAGAATTTACCAAACACAACACGAAAACATCTTTGTTACCGGAACCTTAAATATGGGTGTTGAGAATGATCATCTTGCCTTTTCTCATCAATTTTACTGTACATTTACAGAAACTATGGTCCAACCGATGTCAAAACCCACTTTTGGAGCAAGAAGCACAAATTTTCCAGGTTCATGGCTTAGTAGTTACTCTTGAGTGTTAACCATTAGGTAGTAAGTGTAATCCCTGCTCCAGATACTTCGGTCTAGGCAACTGAGTATTACCATTAGACGTGACAGAAATGGCTTCAAGTACAAGGAAATGAACCCAAAGATAATGAATAACATTGGATGGACCTTGTAAATGCCCTTAAAATATGTAGTATACACACTAACCGTGACCTTTAGTGTGGAGTTCCAAATTGAGGCAATATATGAGCGAAATGATTCAAAATTACATTACCATGATAACAGTGGTTGAAAAATATAGTTGAAAGTTCTGAAAAGGGTTCAAAAGACAACTGAAATCATATCTAAAAATAATAACTAACTTGATTTATAACGAAAATGGTATACATAAGCAGTTGGTTACGCAGAAAAGCATGCATATGTCCTAAAAACATACGCAAATGAATATCACGATTTCGGTACGGAACAATAACAGCCAGCTTTTCAGTTGGATCACATACATTTGGACGCCACAATCCGACGTATTTCTCCAATGAATCGGTGTAATTGTGGGAACTAATAGATCCATTGTGGATCACCACAGGGTTTAAACTGGGTTGTGAATAGGTGCCACCTTTTGAAAGGATAATTTTACGTTGAGAGGGTGATGATGTGTATTTCTCCATTAAGGAATCCCAAGTAGGCACATTAGTCTCGATTTTTAAACGCCCAACTAGTGATAACAAAAGGATGGATTGTTGTGAATCATGCAAAAAGCTGAGGTGACAAACAAATTAAAACAAAAACGTGACAAAGTAAACGCTCATTCCTTGTTAAATAACAGGGAACAACAATACTGACACTGATGGAGAGAACTAGATATTTTAAATAAACAATAAGATCAATCAAATTCAGCAAATAGTAGATAAATATAAACGATTTTTGGACACCTCACAGCCTCAGTTGAAACTCAGAAAATCATTAAATCGGACAGCAAGATCACATTGGGAGTATGTGATGCATAATGATACAAGACACTAGATACATATTTAAGTTGATAGACAACGCAAATCACTCTCAACTGAGTACTGAAAATATAGAGGGAGACGATCAAAACCGATAGTTAAAGCATACATGAAATTGATAGGATATTCTCTTTACCTTAAAGGATATTACATCTGGTACCGAATCCACTAGTTCGCCCAAGTGGCCAAAAGCTAGACAACGTAGAAACTTAAGAAAGTTTAACGGTTTAAGGTAGCATATACATAGATACAACAGAAAGGGATTCGATGGATAATAAAATTAATCGATGAAGACCAATATATTGATTTTAATATTTGAGATTTGTTTCTTTCCCTCTAAATGGTGCCCCATTACTAGTCTGCTTCAACTTCTCAACTAATGATAAGGAATGAATTAATTGAGCACGTCAACCACTGAACTTATCATATGAGTTTCATTAGCTTTGTTATCTGACGAAATCTCAGAACGGATCCAAAGAGCTCCATTGGTGATTGCCACTTGATCCATAGACGATATGTTCGTTTATCTACCAAAGGGTGAAGATACTGTGCAGCAGTCCGCTCAATTCTACTTAATAGCTGTGAGATGTGACCTTTTAAACAGAGGATATTCGTAGGTTACCAGTATTTAATCCTACATGCCTTCGAAGCATTGCTCATGTATATTGTGATATTAGACACAAAGTACTAAGCAAGGATGGCAAGTTGGTTAAATAGCTTGCAAATATTCGTCGACTGAGACAGTTGGAACATATATTATGTATGATTAGCTACCTTCTGCCACCATTTTGACGATCATTGGTGTAGGGGTAGGTTGGAAGAAAGCTAAGGACTAGTATCGAAGTGTGGGATCGGTCCACGAAGACATTAACTAATGAACTGAGTCTTACAGGTAGGTGCAGACTACTTGGTCAGGGTCCGCGTGATTATCATAACCAACTGTTAGAGAATTGAGTCCTATCTTTTTCTATCACCTCTAATATTGTTACTATTTATACTGTAGCACACCGACATGCTGATGTAGTGACAACTTGAACCGATGTACTCATGTGCCAGGTTTTACGTTCTGTATGACTGATGAACTGATGTTAGAGTTAATGTTTTCGCAGTCATAGTATATGAAGTTTCAAGCTCTCTAATAATGTAGTCAAGAGAGGTCAACAAACTTTAGCTATGATTAGAATACAACAATTCCAAACTTGTAAGCTTGCTGTAAAATAAAATATAAGGAAAATTAGGGTCAAACTTACTAGCATGAGGATTTTCTTTTGGGCATTCTTGTTGTTGTGAAACAACCTAGAAAGTATAAAAACCTACTATAAGGACTTAGAACGTATTGGGATTTCGAACTGGAGTACTTTGTTAGCACTAACAAAATAACAATTCAAAGTCTAGTAAACCTTATGTGAAAGACAATTGTAATTACTTGAAAATCTGATGAAGCCAGTTTACTTAACTATCTCAAACATATGCTATTAATAAATAAACATTACTACAACACACATTAAAGCCAATCTACATTGGTAACTTCTGCTGCGTAAAAGCTTACCGACCTAATTGATACAATTTTATGAAGTTTATATGTCAAGTTAGAAGGTACATTTACAAACACCAATACTTACAAAATTTCCCAAATCCGTCACATTAAATGGGAGTTTACGCAAAAAGTTCGGGATATTTTGAGAACGGGAGATATGTACATATAAAAATATTGATCCCAGGAGGAATAAGAAAATTGAACAACCGAAGCAAATTCGTTGTGATATAAAAGTTTGCATCATTTTGAAGTACAAATTTACTCCATTACCACCAATGGCTTATAATTTCTTCACTAAAGATTCTGCTCCACTTTTATTCAAAATGAGATTTTGTTTTTGGTTCACAACGGGAATTCTTGAAGAATAAGGAATAATAAAAATAGGAGAAAAAAGTGGTATAATATATAAAATAATGTAACGCCACCGAGGTTAACAAAAAAGCTCTTTTGCATTTTTTGGTTAGCCAAAGAAAGAAAAATCTAGTTGGCAATAATATAATTAAAAACCACAGGATTGATATCATGGTAAGTCTAACAGGTACGTAAACACAGACGTTGCAATAGTATCTCGGGTAGAAATCGTAAAAGGATGTGATACTTAATGATCCTTCTGAGCAAACAAAATTCCAACTGTAATATCTTCCTATTTTAGAAGTAGTCGAGAGAAACACAGTTTTTTCCTCGGATAACTGTTTTTTTTAAATAAATATTTTGAAAAACGACATTCAAACCATGCGTGTTTTCCTCTGACTTATGTGGAAAAACTGAGGTTTTCAACCGGGTTATATTTTATAATCACCACCACTCGACCCCGCTCTATAACATATATTTATCTAAAGTCTCAAACCAAACGTGAAAAAATACCTAAAATTATGCAGTCATTTTATTATCTTAGGAGCTTAGACTGTAGAAATGACTAACGTTGCTTTCGATCTTGCTCAAATAATTGCTTCTTTTAGGAAACTTAGGTGGTAGCTTAGTTTTAAAGGGATCTGACTTCGGGCCATTAAGTCCCACGTTGAGAGCATGCTCTAGCTATCTCGGTTTGGGAGACCGAATAATATCATTAGCTCTTATACTTAATGTGGCTCGAACCCAAGAATCCGGTGAATGTATTAAGTAATTCACGCCAGGATTAATTGAAAACAATGTGTTTTGTCTGAGTGTGTATTTGGACAAAATGCTATTAGATTACCATATTACACTTAGTTGAAGGTTAAATACGGTTGACAAGGACGTACCATTCATTCTACCTAACTGAGGATGAAAAAACAGAAAATATTGACCTTTATATTAACTGTTCACTGATCAGACTAGTGGCTTTCGTCAAGCTGAACCAACTAAATCATTACTTGAGTAAACGATTCAACCAAATAAATGACCAGAGAACATAAAAAATTACTGGTCCACGACAGGCAATTAACAGTGAGAAGATGAAGGTCATGTGGTATGAATGTAAAGAATGGTTAGCTTTAAGACGGCATATTTATTTGAATACATAAACTTATGATATCCCACATGACAAGAAACTAGTGCAGAAAGACATCCTACAAATTTTTAGAAGAGAATAACCTATCTAGTGAAACATATAAAGAAGAGGACATAAGACCTGATACAATATGTCACTGGTCGGATTCTCACGACATCAAAGGCTATACATAGTTTGTCAGTGAATTACAGAAGAATACCCACACTTCCCTATAAAGTTTCAGTTTGGGAAGGACAGGACGCCTGATGGCCTGTGTAAGTCCTGGCAATGGTGGTCTCTAAGTTGATCCAACTTCCTTTGAAAGAATCGACGGATGAAGCCTCAACCACGTGCCGAGGTAATGAGTTCCACTCGATGATGATTCGATGGGAAAGCCGATAGTCAGCTGACAAGTAATTTGTTCTTGGCTTGTGAACTTTTTTGGGGTGTCCTAGTAAATTCTCTGTTTTGGGACACAAGAAAAATGAGGGCATATCAGGTGCAAATTTGGCACTAAGCAATTTGAAAACTGTAATCAAGTCGCCTCTAGTTCTGCGATATGACAACGGAAAAAGGATCAGCTTGGCCAGCCGAGCTTCATAAGGAAGTTTCGCTATTCCGGGAATCAGCTTAGTTGCCGTTCTCTGAACCTTTTCCAGAAGCTCACTGTCTTTTTTAAAGCAGGAGCTAGCCGCATGTATGCAGTACTCAAGTTTAAAACGTACGAACACTGTATATAAAGTCAAAAACGTCTTAGCGTCGACATGACTAAAAGCCCTATGTATTGACTGTAAAGTTCTGAAATCTTTGGCGGCTATTGCACGGAAGTGTGCAGTAGTCTTTCAGTCTTGGCTAACGATGACCCCTAAGTCATTGTGTGTCTGGACAACCGGTAGTTCAGTGTTATTCATCGTGTGTGTATCTGTATCTTGGTGACCGATATGCATCACAATACACTTGGATGTATTTATCGGCAACTACCAGGTTTGAGACCATTCAGAAAATTTCTCCAGGTCATTTTGGAGTTCTAAGCTATATTCCTTACTTCATATCGCTCTCCATATCTCGACATGATCAGCACTTAGCAAGGCTGATGATGATGGTAGACGAGGAAGGTCATTTGCATACAAGAGGAATAACACGGGCCCCAAAACTGTACCCTGGGGCACTCCACTAACCACAGTTCCCCAGCTAGATAACTTTGAGTTCACCCGAACTCTTTGTTGACGCCCAACCAAGAAGTCTTTTGTTCACATAAATAGATTGCCTACGATCCCGGCATTTCTTAACTTATATAACAGCCGGTTGTGCGGAACCTTGTCAAAAGCTTTGCTGAAATCAATGAAGGCTGCTTCTACAGGTAACTTTTGATCCTTAAGAGCGCACCAGTTTTCACGAGCCACTACTAAGCTAGTGAGACAAGAGTAACCTATTCTGAAACCGTGCTGCTTCTCCGAAAGGATCCGGTTTTTATCGAGATACTTAAACAGCTCCTTCCGAACAATCATTTCTATGATTTTAACAACTACACTAGTTAGGCTAATTCTCAGGTTTGTGTTTCGTACCTGTTTTGAAGACAGGACTTACTATGGCGTTTTTCCAGTCTTTGGGTAAACGACCCTGCGTTACGGATAGGTTAAAGCATATACTTAGAGGGTTCGCAACGAAGTTAGATAATTCATTCAGCAGCCTAGGATGTAATTCATCGGGCCCCGTGGATTTACCTATGTCAAGCTTATTTAGTAGACCAAAGACATCGAGTTCTTTAATGGTCACGCTACCCAGTGTATGTGTGGGGGATCTGTACGCACTGATGGGAAGGGTGCTTCTATGGTGTATACATTGCTGAAGTAGTTTGAGAACACTTGAGCCTTACCAAAGTCGTCCTCCACTAGTGACGCGGCAGTACTGTTTCCCCATAGAGCAGGAATATTTCCTCTTCTCTTTGTCCTTTGGTTTATATAAGAATACAAGCGTTTAGGACATTCTATGGATTCCTTAACAATGTTTTCTTCGTACAACTTTCTAGACTTACGGAGGGTCGAGGCACAGGTCATATAAAAACAGAATTAGAAGGAGAGACATTCTGCTTACTGTAATTGAGTGTTAATAAATTTTCTCAGCTAATTAAATGAAAGATATCCTGGTCAACAAGGGCAATTGATGTTTTCCACGTAGCATAGCATGAAGCAGTTTTCATGACGGTGCTTCATTTTAATCGCCAGCCAGTGAGTAAAAGTTATGACGTAAAAATAATGGGAAGTTAAATTAACGCATATTAAGTAGTCACAATGATCTGGATGTCTAAAACCAACCACAGACATCCAAACAGGGGAGAACAAGAACTGACTAAAGCACAAACATGTATAAACGATTAAAACGCCAAGACAATTCCCAAAGCCCATAAATTACATTTGTCCTCTAGCACTGTCCAGCCTTTTTTCACGTTTTTTACTAGAAATATGTTGACTTAAAGCTTATCACTAAAATCCAATTTGGTCAGATAGTTTTAGTTGATAATAGGATTTAGACAAGATTTAACTCAAATCATAACTTCACAGAGAGGGGTTAAAAATCAAATGTAACTAACGGTGGGAATCACTGACTATTTCGACCTAAATATACCTTAGCAAATGTACATAGGCAGTAACGCAGGAAATTTTCAACCGGAGGCACATAAATACTTAGCAAGGGCAACCAACATTCAATACCATTGTACAATTTACGGTCCAATGATTCAGATTCAGATTTGTGTAGTAAAGACAGAAGGCCTACAGCTTTTGTTATTCTTTTTAGTATACCTCTGTGAATGCCCAATCTTTTCTGAATGAGTCAACTGTATATGCAGATACCACTGCTTTGGGCAACATATCCCAAGAATTGATGACCAATATGCCACGGGTATTTTATTCGCTCTAGACTTTTCTACTCGCCTGCTATGTTCTCTGAGATGTACCGATTTAGTTGGGAGAAAAAGAGGGGATATATCAGGTCTCAAATCACTTCTTGGTATTCTACACATCAAAATTAGATAAACTCTTGATCTACGATAGGACAGAGCAGTTTCAGTTTCAGTTTGGAGAGGACAGGAGGCTCGATCACCTGTAGTAGTCCTCGTAATGACGGTCTCTCAGTTAATTCAACTTTCTTTTGCAAGAATCGACGGATGAAGCCTCAACCACGTGCCGAGGTAATGAATTCCACTCGTTGATGATTCGATGGAAAAGCCGTTAGTCAGCTGACAAGTAATTTGTTCTTGGCTTGTGAACTTTTTTGGAGTGTCCTAGTAAATTCTCTGTTTTGGGACACAAGAAAAATGGGGGTGAAAATTTATCACTCAGCAACATGAAAACTGTAATCAAGTCGCCTCTAGTTCTTCGACATAAAAACGGGAATAGGTTTAGCTTGGCCAGTCGAGCATCGTACAATGTCAGAAGAGTTTTAGCGTCGACATGACTAAAAGCCCTATGTATTGACTGTAAAGTTCTGAAATCTTTGGCGGCTATTGCACGGAAGTGTGCAGTAGTCTTTCAGTCTTGGCTAACGATGACCCCTAAGTCATTGTGTGTCTGGACAACCGGTAGTTCAGTGTTATTCATCGTGTGTGTATCTGTACCTTGGTGACCGATATGCATCACAATACACTTGGATGTATTTATCGGCAACTACCAGGTTTGAGACCATTCAGAAAATTTCTCCAGGTCATTTTGGAGTTCTAAGCTATATTCCTTACTTCATATCGCTCTCCATATCTCGACATGATCAGCACTTAGCAAGGCTGATGATGATGGTAGACGAGGAAGGTCATTTGCATACAAGAGGAATAACACGGGCCCCAAAACTGTACCCTGGGGCACTCCACTAACCACAGTTCCCCAGCTAGATAACTTTGAGTTCACCCGAACTCTTTGTTGACGCCCAACTAAGAAGTCTCCTATTCACATGGAGTTCCTAAATCCCAGACACTTCCTACCTTTATCGAAAGCTTTGCTGAAATCAATGAAGGCTGCTTCTACAGGTAACTTTTGATCCTTAAGAGCGCACCAGTTTTCACGAGCCACTACTAAGCTAGTGAGACAAGAGTAACCTATTCTGAAACCGTGCTGCTTCTCCGAAAGGATCCGGTTTTTATCGAGATACTTAAACAGCTCCTTCCGAACAATCATTTCTATGATTTTAACAACTACACTAGTTAGGCTAATTCTCAGGTTTGTGTTTCGTACCTGTTTTGAAGACAGGACTTACTATGGCGTTTTTCCAGTCTTTGGGTAAACGACCCTGCGTTACGGATAGGTTAAAGCATATACTTAGAGGGTTCGCAACGAAGTTAGATAATTCATTCAGCAGCCTAGGATGTAATTCATCGGGCCCCGTGGATTTACCTATGTCAAGCTTATTTAGTAGACCAAAGACATCGAGTTCTTTAATGGTCACGCTACCCAGTGTATGTGTGGGGGATCTGTACGCACTGATGGGAAGGGTGCTTCTATGGTGTATACATTGCTGAAGTAGTTTGAGAACACTTGAGCCTTACCAAAGTCGTCCTCCACTAGTGACGCGGCAGTACTGTTTCCCCATAGAGCAGGAATATTTCCTCTTCTCTTTGTCCTTTGGTTTATATAAGAATACAAGCGTTTAGGACATTCTATGGATTCCTTAACAATGTTTTCTTCGTACAACTTTCTAGACTTACGGAGGGTCGAGGCACAGGTCATATAAAAACAGAATTAGAAGGAGAGACATTCTGCTTACTGTAATTGAGTGTTAATAAATTTTCTCAGCTAATTAAATGAAAGATATCCTGGTCAACAAGGGCAATTGATGTTTTCCACGTAGCATAGCATGAAGCAGTTTTCATGACGGTGCTTCATTTTAATCGCCAGCCAGTGAGTAAAAGTTATGACGTAAAAATAATGGGAAGTTAAATTAACGCATATTAAGTAGTCACAATGATCTGGATGTCTAAAACCAACCACAGACATCCAAACAGGGGAGAACAAGAACTGACTAAAGCACAAACATGTATAAACGATTAAAACGCCAAGACAATTCCCAAAGCCCATAAATTACATTTGTCCTCTAGCACTGTCCAGCCTTTTTTCACGTTTTTTACTAGAAATATGTTGACTTAAAGCTTATCACTAAAATCCAATTTGGTCAGATAGTTTTAGTTGATAATAGGATTTAGACAAGATTTAACTCAAATCATAACTTCACAGAGAGGGGTTAAAAATCAAATGTAACTAACGGTGGGAATCACTGACTATTTCGACCTAAATATACCTTAGCAAATGTACATAGGCAGTAACGCAGGAAATTTTCAACCGGAGGCACATAAATACTTAGCAAGGGCAACCAACATTCAATACCATTGTACAATTTACGGTCCAATGATTCAGATTCAGATTTGTGTAGTAAAGACAGAAGGCCTACAGCTTTTGTTATTCTTTTTAGTATACCTCTGTGAATGCCCAATCTTTTCTGAATGAGTCAACTGTATATGCAGATACCACTGCTTTGGGCAACATATCCCAAGAATTGATGACCAATATGCCACGGGTATTTTATTCGCTCTAGACTTTTCTACTCGCCTGCTATGTTCTCTGAGATGTACCGATTTAGTTGGGAGAAAAAGAGGGGATATATCAGGTCTCAAATCACTTCTTGGTATTCTACACATCAAAATTAGATAAACTCTTGATCTACGATAGGACAGAGCAGTTTCAGTTTCAGTTTGGAGAGGACAGGAGGCTCGATCACCTGTAGTAGTCCTCGTAATGACGGTCTCTCAGTTAATTCAACTTTCTTTTGCAAGAATCGACGGATGAAGCCTCAACCACGTGCCGAGGTAATGAATTCCACTCGTTGATGATTCGATGGAAAAGCCGTTAGTCAGCTGACAAGTAATTTGTTCTTGGCTTGTGAACTTTTTTGGAGTGTCCTAGTAAATTCTCTGTTTTGGGACACAAGAAAAATGGGGGTGAAAATTTATCACTCAGCAACATGAAAACTGTAATCAAGTCGCCTCTAGTTCTTCGACATAAAAACGGGAATAGGTTTAGCTTGGCCAGTCGAGCATCGTACAATGTCAGAAGAGTTTTAGCGTCGACATGACTAAAAGCCCTATGTATTGACTGTAAAGTTCTGAAATCTTTGGCGGCTATTGCACGGAAGTGTGCAGTAGTCTTTCAGTCTTGGCTAACGATGACCCCTAAGTCATTGTGTGTCTGGACAACCGGTAGTTCAGTGTTATTCATCGTGTGTGTATCTGTACCTTGGTGACCGATATGCATCACAATACACTTGGATGTATTTATCGGCAACTACCAGGTTTGAGACCATTCAGAAAATTTCTCCAGGTCATTTTGGAGTTCTAAGCTATATTCCTTACTTCATATCGCTCTCCATATCTCGACATGATCAGCACTTAGCAAGGCTGATGATGATGGTAGACGAGGAAGGTCATTTGCATACAAGAGGAATAACACGGGCCCCAAAACTGTACCCTGGGGCACTCCACTAACCACAGTTCCCCAGCTAGATAACTTTGAGTTCACCCGAACTCTTTGTTGACGCCCAACTAAGAAGTCTCCTATTCACATGGAGTTCCTAAATCCCAGACACTTCCTAACTTTATCGAAAGCTTTGCTGAACTCCTTGTAGGCTACGTCCACAGGTAACCTTCGGTCTTTAAGAGCCCACCAGTTTTCAGGAGGTCTAGCTTTGCAAGCCGCTTTTTCTATGGGAAACCCCGGAATTCTGGATTTGCACGGATGTCTGCCCCTTGTACGTTTTCTGAAATATCCGAGTCACCTCTCAAACAGAGGCTCGCAGTCTGAATGCAGTTCTCAAGCTTAGTTCTAACCAAGACGTAAACTATGATGAACAGGGTAGTATTCAACCAGGTGAATGTCTGTCTTAAAGCCCATTGGATGCCTTCGTTTCATTAGCCACGCTCAGCTATTTATTATCATTACCAAAAGTGAATACATCCTGTATAATATGTAGGGGAAAAGAGTATTGTAACATAAGTAACATGATAAAATACAAACAACCCTTAATTTAGAATTGTTTTCAGAAGGGGTTTTGTGGAGACTTTTAGAAATCATGAGTCAACCCCTTCTGATAATAATCATGTGCTCACTGGTGACTGACATCAAGAGGCATTTCCTGGAGTTTTATTGAGAAGCCGTTATAATTGGAGTTCAACCAGGTCTGTTGTGAGATATCAATTCGCCGAAGACAATGGTGTACGTTGGCGTAGCCTCGTGGATTGGTTGAAGTTAGACATTTACACCGTTGGATGCCGGCTTAGTGGTTTTAGTGGTTAAGCGCTCGCGTGCGAGACTAATAGGTCCTGGGTTCGAATGTCGCGGGCGGCGGGATCGTGGATGCGCACTGCTGAGTAGTCCTATACTGGGACGAAACGGCCGTCCAGCGCATACAGGTTTTCCATGGTGGCCTAACTTCAATTGACTCATGATTTCAACTATTAGAATTACTTATTGATTAATTGGTTGGATCAATACCTTCTGTTGAGCTAAATGAGCTAAGAATTTATTCGCATCTCTTCGGGGGATTTACTCTGATGGCAATTCCAGTCAACTGCCCAAGTTACTAATTATTTTCCGCAAGCCTGCAAAAAAGCTTACCATGAAATCATTCCGTCCCGAAAACTAAGTATTGCTTCTTGGATTTAACTGGAGGCATTAACGAGAACGTCGTCTTCTCGGGGTCTAGCTGCCAATTCTGCGCTTATCTTTTCGCTTCGGATTGACTGCATCAGTTAAACGGCCTAGTGGCGGCTTCGAGTTAGGAGGTTTGTTATCCGAATTGTGTAGTCTATTGAGGATGTGGTTCACATATCACATCAGGCACTTACCTCGAACATCAATTTCTAGCATTGTGTAACCGAATCTTCTCACAATATCATCTGCTACCCACACTGGGCTTCACTTTAGAAAGCTTCTTACGTATGCTTGCAACCCTCAATCCCCATCACCTCGGATTAATTATCTGCCTTTATCCCTGTGGATACATACCATCAAATCACTTTAGAGCCTTCCTTTCAAATATTGACTGAGCTGTGGAGATACTAGTGGGCGAGGCTGGATTGGAGATTATTCTGACTAATTTTTCTCCATCGCCCCCTCCTCTTGTGATTATTTTGAAAATCACTGGAAAATTCGCCCAATAAATGAGAATAGGAAGACACTCGGTTGTAAATAACATTGGACGAATTATCGAACATTTTTAATCTGCATTACAGATAAGATTAAATAGGTAATTGAGAGCTTTTAATTCTGTGGTTCAGTAAGACCAAACAGACTGAAGGATTCGTCAGTATCACATTATCAGGATTCGACTGTTAGATAAACAAACTTGGCAGTAAATTTTGATAATTCCGAAATTTTAATAGGTATACACGATGCATTTCTTATGCTGTCAGTAGTATGGTGAGTGTGTAGAATTATGGCCTAATATGATATTAGTATCGCTCTAATAATATACTTAATACTGAGCCTGTAGATTTGTCATGATGTAACTTCCTAATTTATAGGATTATATTTGGAGGTCATATTATCATCTACACCAAATCATCGCGCCGTAACAATCACTAATATATTATGAAGAACACACTTAGGCTAGAGCTGGAATAACATATTTAATATGAACAAAAGGTAAATGTTCACAGTCAATGATGACCACGCATGCAAGGCCGAACCGTGTTATGCGATGGATTCGAACTCACTCAATTGATTGTTCCCGCCTTCCTCGTCGTTGGGTTTTTTCCTTGTTAAACATTGAATATCTATTGTACTTAAAGACTATGGAGTGCTTGAAAATGCTAATGACTTTATCAGTTTGTCATGAACTTCTATTTTTGCCTGCCATTCCTTTTTCGTCAAGTGTCAATGCTCCAGTCATAATGTGAGAGCTTGAATTACCATATACTAAGCTATTTTGTAGGGACAACTAAAATAAAATTGAAAACGTAAGTTCAACAGGTAGCACAGATAGGAGAACAACAACAACTCTTATCTCGTCTTCAATTATATAATGTGTGAGACGAAAAAAGGTTCCACTCTACCAATAAATATACAAAAATGGACATACACTGTCTGATAATGCTGCTGTCTGAAGTCTATTCTTGCTAGGGGACCTCAAAGTTAGCCATTTTAGACACCATGAATGAAATATGCGAGCAAATACTTGGTAAACGATCAGTGTCAAGGAAATACAGTCTAAGCTGTCAAATTATTGTCATAGATGAGCACCCCGACTCACCCAAGAGTGATATGGTACAGATATTCGACTGAGCTACCTCAGTTAAGGGTGCTATGCAATCAGATGTTTATTTAACACAAAATAACTTATTAACCAGTAAAGGAATGATTAATAAATAGGTGCTCAGTAACTGGCAATCAGTAAAAATATTCGCAAGGAGACATGATCAATAATTTATCTGGAAAGATTCGCGTGATCGTTTTCAGCTAGTAGTGAAACGTCAACACTCATCAGCTAAGCCATGAAGTAACATTGAGTTTAGTCGTACACGACACCATTGTCAATTGCTCGGTAAAATACAATAGTTAAATTAGGTAATAAGGGTAAATCTTTAAACGAAGTCGAGCAATAAAAGTTAAGACAAAGGGAACTAAAGAACATAAAATTTGGTTAATAGATACCTCAGTCACTGCTTATACTCATTGCCACTCCACCTTGTTTCTCGATAATTGCCTCTTCTAAGGTGACTGGTAGACTCAACATTACGACCTACTCTAAGTACTGTCTCGCGTCCTTTTTAGAAAACACTGATTTCAAAAGCATCATGTCTGACGTATGTCGGACAGATACGAATTAGAAACGGGTGTGTATTTTACAGAAATCATATAGTCTGCTTCTAAAAAGTGTGCATCAGTACGAGTTAATTGTCGTTTTCAGTAACGAGCGAGTGGCAGGTCTACGTTCCTTGACAGTTTGGTTCAAAATTTTTTAATTCGCATGTGTGTGTGTGATTGGAGTCGCCTTCCGAACGTAACTATCACAAAAAACTATCCCAATTAAAAATGAAAACCGTCACCTATATTCTGGAAATGAGTCACGCACATGTGTATCTCAAAATTGCTTCAGTTCATAAGTATAAACAGGCATTAGTTACTTACTTACTTACTTACGCCTGTTACTCCCAATGGAGCATAGGCCGCCGACCAGCATTCTCCAACCCACTCTGTCCTGGGCCTTCTTTTCTAGTTCCATTTAATTCTTGTTCATTTTTCTCATGTCTATTTCCATTTTCCGGCTAAATGTGTTCTTTGGTCTTCCTCTCTTCTTTTGGCCTTGAGGATTCCATGTGAGGGCTTG